CATAGGATAATTTAAAATAATTTTCTGCATAAAACAACTATAAATTAGTATATAAAAATTTCTTGTCTCAATGATTATTGTTAAATGAATCTCAAACACCTTGCAGCAGAGATAACAGAGACTTATCATACTGCTATTGACGACATCAAAATAATACTTGTATTATCAGAAGGCAATGAAACTTTACTTCTTATTTCATTTGAAATGCATACCATACTGATAGCTGTCTTCTGATGATAGAAGTGTTAATTTCATGTCTTCAGTAACAGTGTGATAAGTCTGCTATCTTGGTTACACAGTGTTTAAGATTCATTTAACAACTATAAATTATATTTTAATCAACTAATAAACAATTTTATATTATAATTTATTTACATTCGGACAAAACTTTAACAATTCTCTGTGTAAAAGTAAAAAAGGAAAATAATCTGAATTTCGATAGTTTTAAGCCCATCAATGGTCGGTGGATAAAACCACTAATGTATGGGCTGGCCACATGGAGTTTTTGGATTTTCTTCACATTTAGCAGATAAATAGGAGCCAGTGTTTTATAGAAAGTCCTTCTGTAGGGCACCTCCTTGGCAGATTGTCCACGTTTTGCGTTGCCGTATTCCATCAAACAAAACCTTTACGTTTTAAACTATATTTTAATTTTATTCTATTTAAGCTTCTTTGTATTGCTATTAATTTTCGGAAACTATGAATTTTTATTTATCAATTTTACTCCTTCTTTTGACGCGGCAGTATATAATGTTTATGATATTCCAACAAAATATAATATTTTAACGATTAGGAATTTTCATTTTTAATTTAAACCATTATATATTTAGCATTTTATATGCATAAATGCGATAGACTTAATTTAAAATATACAATATTGAAAAGAATTTTCATCAGTCGACAGAATATTTTAATTTCATTTGTCTAGTAACATTCATTATCATCATCATTAAACCTGGGCTCATTGCCCGTTAGTGTCTGATGCCTTTTCCACTAATTTCTTCCATTTCTCTCTATCCATTGCCGATTTTCTCAATTCCTGTACATTCGCTCCACACCACTTCTTCACGTCATCAATCCATTCTCTATATGGTTTGCCTTTTTTGTTCGATCCATCCATAATATCATAAAGTCTTAATTTTTCTATTTTCATTCATTCTTGTGATGTGTCCAAACAGTTGAAGTTTTCGTTGTATAATTTTTTATAAGAGATTCTCTTTCATATATATCCTATTATAAAATTCTTCGTTTGTGACTTTCTGCATCCATCCTATTTGTAAGATCTTTCTGTAACAGTGTCTTTCAAATGCTAATATTTGTCTTATCCATATCTTTTGTTATTACCCATGTCTCACAGGCATACAGCACGCAGGAGAAGATGCAGGTGTTCAATACTTTTAATTTTGTCTGCAAACTAATTGCTTTACTTTTCTAGATTTTGTCCATTGCTTTCAAATTTGTTTTTGTCTTTCTCTCTATTTTCTAATCTCTATTTCTTTTTTTGCAATCCAGATTATAGGTTAGTTTTCTTCCTAAATATGTAAAGCTATCCACATTTTCAATTTCTTTCCCATCTACTAGGATGTTTCTTGTCATGTTGTTATCATCAAGTATCATTGTCTTAGTTTTTTTCGCTATTGATAGTCAGTCTACATATATCTTTTTCCTTCTTCATTAATTAAGCAAATGTAATGTTTTCTCTAGTTGTTCTTCACTTTTTTCAATGATAACTATGTCATCTGCAAATCTCACATTATTGAATTTTACACCGTGAACTGATGTTCCCCGAATCTCTTGGTCATCTTATCCATGACTCTTTCTAAGAGGCTTATGAAGATAATTGGGGATGTAGGATTTCCTTGTCTAGTGCTTCTTTTTGGTTTGAACCAGTTTCCTAGCTCCCCAAGCAATTTCACAGCTGTTTCTGCATTTTCATTAATATACCTTAGCAGGTTTATTAGTTTATGATCCACTAGTAACATTGATGACACATTTTATGATAATTTTTGAAAGTTAGCATTGTTTTAAACGTTTTGTTCTTCTAGTATTATTATTTTTTTCAGTACTTTATTGTAAGCATGTAGATATTATTTCGAATAAAGTATTTTTCGGTAATTTTCGTTTTAGAATGAATTAATGTGCATTTCCTGAATTTTAATAATAAATTATTAGTAACACTCTATCATTTGATAGATTTACAATAATTTAGTCGAAAAATTAAGCGTTACATATCTCTTTTTCTTGTTTGTTTTATTAAGTTACGGCAACGCAACACTTGGGCGATCTGCCTAGGGGAATGCCTTCCGGAAGATCTTTCTAAGGGTAACTCGCCTCTATTCAGGCGTTACAGACGTAGAGAAAACCTGGAAAATTCCACGTGACCAGTCCGTTCTGGCGAGGCGTGAACCCGCGACCGAACACCCAGTGTTTAGGGAACAGAACCGCTTGACCACTGGTGGGCCCGCTTCAACTTATAGCTGTTAAATTAATATTTAATTGAAGAATGAATATTTTGAGTTAAAAGCGTATCCTTTCAATATAATTTAACATTGAAAGATCAATTCAATTTAATATACCATTACATATACCTTTATAAGATATTATTTGATTCTTCGACAGAAAAACTTAGTCAATAATACTGTATAATAGAACAATTGGCGATAATTTTTTAAAACCAGCTTACACACAAGTTATCTTCAAATTTGGAAAATTTTATTTAATCCTCTACGAATCCTTTATGACAAGTTGATCTTCGTTAGATTGTACTTTTATTCTGTATAAACGTCACTGAAGACGATCGGCAAGTATATTTGTAAAGGATTAACGAGCAATTTTTTATTGTGACATCGTCACAATGCCGGGCTGCAATTTTTAATCGTATTTTTAAATTTATTTAATTTAAGATATATGCTCTCCACCTCAAATTAGTAGTGGCTTGCCCCTGTATATCATACTTTTCGTGCCGGTCATCTATCTAACACTTTTCAAGGGGAAATTTTTAAATTGAAATAACGTAACTTTAATTTTGGATAAGATGTTCTTATATAGTTAATCAGGGTCGCTTACCCCCAAGGTTTCCATATATGGTCTCCTCCTTCATTTATCTAACTCTGTTCTCGAGATAAAGGAAGGACAGACAGAAAACGAACAACAGTGCGAATTTATAGGTCTACAATTTTTTAAATTGTAGCCTAAATAAAATTTCCAATTTTTGACGGTTTAGTCGATGTTTTGAAACTTAACTTCAGTTCTTTTGCCCTATTAGTTTACCAAGGCATCAGCCATATTGTATAGTATTACATCATCCGCTGATATAAATGAAAAAGGAGTAGTTAACTGCTCAATTTGATATCGGCTATTGCTGTGCTATTTGAGTTTGTGTCGACAATTAACTTTACAGTAAACACAACCAGCGGAGCCCGTAGACTATGGAAAAGGGGGCAGAAACTATAAAAAGAACATCGTACTGTACATTACGCAAGAAGCTTCGAACTCTATTATTCAACGTCAGATCAGCGCTCTCACAAGGTGGTACCGGTTGCACTCTGGACTAACTTGGCCTCGAAAATAAGAAATGGGGTTTTGATCAACATTCGACGAAGTTGAATTAGTCAATGGACAATATCTTTCATTAGTTTCTTTTATATTTGCAGAATAGGCTAGAAGTCACGAATTTTCTATTGTTTGGGACTCCTTGGAATTAGAAAAAAAACCTGAGACGAAATGGGACATGTGCCACAAGTGCCCCAATATACGGATGTCTCAGTATTTGAATTTACGCTAGAAAGAAGAAATTCATTGACGTTTTACACAACGATGGTCTGAATATGACTGAGCTGTTCTCGTTCCACTGTTAATATAAAGGAATTCCTTCAGTGATGATTTTAAGTGAAATCAATAGCGTTGGAACGTTTTATTTCGTGGATGACACACTGAATGCAAATCAGTATGAAACTGTTGTTACACTTTATATCGTCACCATAGCCAGAGATACAATTGGATTGGAGCCATACATTTTCCAACAAGATTTTACATCCTGCCAGATATGTACACAGCGAATTGTACATTTCTGATTTTAATGATTTTTAATATCTTTAAAATATTAAACGATTATCGATATTTCGTTCTTCCAGATGCAAAAACAGTTTTCAGAACTGGGAATAAAAATGCTAAATTATGATGGGAATCTCAGCCCAACTAAAAACATTAGTATATACAATGTATTCATGAGAATTTTGTCTAATTTTTTTATTTACTGTTCTTCAGTATATCAAAACAAGTTTCGGAATTTTAAACATCGTATTATATATGTCTGTCATATAAAATACATTGCAGTTTTTATTTTTTTTCTAAATTTATCACTTCTTATCACTAATACATTATCCCCATCATAGGTTACACAGCATTATGCATTATTAACATTCTGCTGATTCATATAAACTCAGAAGGGGTGCAATACTTTAGAACACTAATGTATATTTTTACATAATAACCTAAGAGACTAATTTCCTACAGAAATTAGTCTCTTAGGTTATTATTTAGCTTATGGTTAGTTTATAGATTGTGAATTGTTTCCCTTTTACTGATTCTCTGCTTGAAAGTTGCTGTAGAAAACTAAGTAAACACGAAAATGGTGTTTACTAGTTTCTGTTTTGAATTGAACTTGTTTAATAAAATAGTAATGCTATTAAATATAAAGCTTGAACTCCGTTATAAAACTTGTTTAAAATTACCTAATTTTATGGTAATAAAATTAATTAAATGTTTGTTTAGCTCAGACGCCTCACTGGTTTTATGAGTGTTAATTTTTTTGTGTTTCAGTTCACTTCTATTGATGTTTGATGCTTTAGATAGTATTTAGAATTTAATTTTCTAATAACTTATAATCCTAGAAATTTGTAGCTTGGAAAATAATGTCATTTTTAATTTATTACAAAAAAAAATAGCGTTGCCCTTGGCCTCGTGGAAAAGTGTTGGGTGGTTCGAGTGTGCTTAATTATATGCTATACATTAGAGGGAATAGAAGAGACTACGATAATTGGGCTCAACAGGGTATTTATGGTTGGAGTTGGAAGGAAGTACTTCCATACTTTATACGATCCGAAGATAATCGCGATCCAGAAATTGCTTATAATGGTAAGGTGATATTGAAAATTTATGGAAGAAAATCTGAATGAATACTTTTAAAATATTCGAAGTAAACAGAAATACTTACTTTAGTTTATATATCATTAGGTTATCATGGACGAGATGGTCCACTTACAGTTTCTACTCCACCGTTCGTTACAGATTTAACTTTTGCATTTCTTGAAGCTGGAAATCGTTTTGGTTATCGTAATATAGATCTTAATGGTCCTATACAAACAGGTAATACTTTCAGGCTACTCAACTTTTTCATAATAATTAATTAATTTACTTTTGAGTATAATTATCTTAAAAATAATTTTATAGAGAAATTTTATGATTATATTTGCCATATTTTTAGGATAATTTATATTATTGCTATGTTTAGGTTTTGCCATTCCTCAAGGGACAATACGTAGAGGAGCGCGATGTAGCACTGCCAAAGCATTTCTCGAATTAACTAGAGGAAGAAATAATTTACATATTTTAATACATGCATACGTTACTAAAGTACGTTTTATTATAATGTTAAGCAGAATGAATTGTTTAGTGTTAACATTCGTGTTAATGTTACAGATAGGATTTCATAGAGGAAGAGCACACAGTGTACACTTTGATTGGAATCGTAAACATAACATAGTATATGCCAAAAAGGAGATAATTGTTTCAGCAGGTGCCGTTAATACTCCGCAATTGCTCATGCTATCTGGTATAGGGCCTAAAGACGAATTGGAAGCATTGAAAGTGAGTTTAAAAAAATCGTTTTAAATACAATTAAGTCATATAAGTTTTCTGTGTCTCTGTAATAATTTTAATTTATATAATGAACCTATTTCAGATTCCAGTAATAGCGAATTTACCAGTTGGCTATAATTTACAAGATCATGTCGGTGCTGCGGGTCTTCACTTTAAAATAAATGCACCAATTTCTCTTTTGGAACCACGACTTATGTCTATTAAAAATATTGTTAAATATTTTCTTTTTGGTTCTGGTAAGTTTGTATCATAGACCTATATTAATAATATATAGTAAGATTTATAGACTTAATATTATAGGACCGTTAACAAATTTGGGAGGAGTTGATGGTTTGGGATTTATCAATACACGTTATGGTAACGTTACTGACGATTGGCCTGATGTACAAGTCCTTTTTGTCTCTAGCAGTCCAGTTGCAGACGGAGGCGAAACAGTTCGGAAAATTATGGGGATAAGCAATAGAGTAACTCCATTTTAAATTAAAATAAATTTTTCATAACTTTTGTGTGAAATTTTTTAAAAAATGCAAATGTTTTCAGATGTGGTGGCAAGTTTATTACCCATATATTTATGACGATACGTTTACTCTATACCCTCTTTTACTGAGACCCAAGAGCAGAGGGAGAGTAAAATTAAAATCTTCAAATCCCTACGATCGTCCATTGATCGATCCAAGATATTTAACTGATATAGATGATGTTCATACTTTAGTAGAAGGTATAGAGTTAGTTATTTTGATATATATATTTTGTCATTAAAANATTGAAATTTCTCAATCCCTCTTCAGGCTTCCAACATAATAGTCATTTAACTTGTTTTTTTTCTTACAATAACACTGCGGTTGCCTACATCATTTGTATAAGTTATTCATCATCAAGACGTATGGAAAATACTATAAAGTCAGTAGTAAAATTTAAAGGTAAAAAAGATTTCTTGTTAAAAAAAAAAAAAGATTATTAAGTTAACACCGTTATCTTCGGAGTTCGATGATAAATTTATTTTCTTTCGTAGTAAAACAACGACTACTGACGGAAACAAGAAATGGCCATTGTCTGAAGGTTATTTCGTATGCATTTAAAAAAGTTCCCGAAAAATGACGACCGTTTAGAGGTGTCCATTGTTGAGAAGTAACCGTTATTGGAAGTTCGATTCAATATCATAAACATAACTAATGGTTATTATATTCTCCCAATACAAAAGGAAGTAGGCCTACACTGCTAAGCCGAACAAAACACTTAAAATATTTATTTAAAAATTTTAGAATTTTGTTTTGTTAAATTACAATACTATCTTGTTATAGTATTATTATTTTGATGTTATGCCAGTAAACTGGATAAGGGCAACTCGAACAACAGAGAGAGAGTTAATAAAGCATCAAAGGCTAATGGCTGCTTGCATCGGTAGTCATGCATTTTTAAAATGCGATTTTTTAAGCTAACAAAGTTCATTAAAAATGTTCCACGTGGTACAATGAATTATAAAAAAGACTAATTAAAATATATAAAAAATATACACGCTCTTTTTTTTTGTTAATTTAGCTTATACTAACATCGATTTTAAACATAGAAATTAATATAAATTGCACGTTAATACGTACAAAATTAAGTTTATAAAATTTTATTTATTTGTAAAAAAATCTCACTTTTTGAATTGTTAGAAAGTCATAATGTAACATTGATTATAAGTTGACTTATAACTGAATTTTATATACAAAAATCCTTTAATTCGATAAAGAATTTTGAAGTTTTCTTTTCAAAATATTGTAAATTTTTCTACCATTTCTTTAACATATGGGTCAGTCGGTTCATCAAGGTGGAGTTTGAATTAAATAGCGTGAAAATTGATATAGTTTACGAAACAAAATGCTCTTCACGCAGATTTTTCCCCAACTGTTTCATCACTTAACATGAACCTAGAATCTTATAAAGGATAATGCAAAATCTATTACACATTTTATCAAGTTTATTACCATTTTTCGCCTCTTTGTACGTATGGAACATATACAAAGGAAGTTTGCCAATTAAGGATTATTATTTACCTGCCTATGATTACATAATAAGTAAGTTGTATTTATTTATTATTTTCTCAGTTTTAATGTCACTAGGTAATACGTTATAGTTTAAATATTGAGTACGCAACAAAGATTTTTAACAAATTTTATTATCACCTTACGAAAACAGAACAGAAATTTGTAATCATTAAAAGACCCAGCACGATTTAAATAAATAGGCCTCCAAATTAATATTTTAAAAATTTATTTTGATAAGTGGGGTAAATTTATTATATTCATATATACATATATTATCTTTATGGCTTTTACTATTAGCTAGGCCAAGGGTGGGCAACCTTTTTTATAACATGGGCCAGAATCAATTTTACGTTTTTTCCGCGGGCCATAGTAGTTAATTGACACCTTGTGACCTGTAAATTTTTAGTCTGCAAATATGAAATAAATAAATAAANGTGTTTAAGATTCATTTAACAACTATAAATTATATTTTAATCAACTAATAAACAATTTTATATTATAATTTATTTACATTCGGACAAAACTTTAACAATTCTCTGTGTAAAAGTAAAAAAGGAAAATAATCTGAATTTCGATAGTTTTAAGCCCATCAATGGTCGGTGGATAAAACCACTAATGTATGGGCTGGCCACATGGAGTTTTTGGATTTTCTTCACATTTAGCAGCTAAATAGGAGCCAGTGTTTTATAGAAAGTCCTTCTGTAGGGCACCTCCTTGGCAGATTGTCCACGTTTTGCGTTGCCGTATTCCATCAAACAAAACCTTTACGTTTTAAACTATATTTTAATTTTATTCTATTTAAGCTTCTTTGTATTGCTATTAATTTTCGGAAACTATGAATTTTTATTTATCAATTTTACTCCTTCTTTTGACGCGGCAGTATATAATGTTTATGATATTCCAACAAAATATAATATTTTAACGATTAGGAATTTTCATTTTTAATTTAAACCATTATATATTTAGCATTTTATATGCATAAATGCGATAGACTTAATTTAAAATATACAATATTGAAAAGAATTTTCATCAGTCGACAGAATATTTTAATTTCATTTGTCTAGTAACATTCATTATCATCATCATTAAACCTGGGCTCATTGCCCGTTAGTGTCTGATGCCTTTTCCACTAATTTCTTCCATTTCTCTCTATCCATTGCCGATTTTCTCAATTCCTGTACATTCGCTCCACACCACTTCTTCACGTCATCAATCCATTCTCTATATGGTTTGCCTTTTTTGTTCGATCCATCCATAATATCATAAAGTCTTAATTTTTCTATTTTCATTCATTCTTGTGATGTGTCCAAACAGTTGAAGTTTTCGTTGTATAATTTTTTATAAGAGATTCTCTTTCATATATATCCTATTATAAAATTCTTCGTTTGTGACTTTCTGCATCCATCCTATTTGTAAGATCTTTCTGTAACAGTGTCTTTCAAATGCTAATATTTGTCTTATCCATATCTTTTGTTATTACCCATGTCTCACAGGCATACAGCACGCAGGAGAAGATGCAGGTGTTCAATACTTTTAATTTTGTCTGCAAACTAATTGCTTTACTTTTCTAGATTTTGTCCATTGCTTTCAAATTTGTTTTTGCCTTTCTCTCTATTTTCTAATCTCTATTTCTTTTTTGCAATCCAGATTATAGGTTAGTTTTCTTCCTAAATATGTAAAGCTATCCACATTTTCAATTTCTTTCCCATCTACTAGGATGTTTCTTGTCATGTTGTTATCATCAAGTATCATTGTCTTAGTTTTTTTCGCTATTGATAGTCAGTCTACATATATCTTTTTCCTTCTTCATTAATTAAGCAAATGTAATGTTTTCTCTAGTTGTTCTTCACTTTTTTCAATGATAACTATGTCATCTGCAAATCTCACATTATTGAATTTTACACCGTGAACTGATGTTCCCCGAATCTCTTGGTCATCTTATCCATGACTCTTTCTAAGAGGCTTATGAAGATAATTGGGGATGTAGGATTTCCTTGTCTAGTGCTTCTTTTTGGTTTGAACCAGTTTCCTAGCTCCCCAAGCAATTTCACAGCTGTTTCTGCATTTTCATTAATATACCTTAGCAGGTTTATTAGTTTATGATCCACTAGTAACATTGATGACACATTTTATGATAATTTTTGAAAGTTAGCATTGTTTTAAACGTTTTGTTCTTCTAGTATTATTATTTTTTTCAGTACTTTATTGTAAGCATGTAGATATTATTTCGAATAAAGTATTTTTCGGTAATTTTCGTTTTAGAATGAATTAATGTGCATTTCCTGAATTTTAATAATAAATTATTAGTAACACTCTATCATTTGATAGATTTACAATAATTTAGTCGAAAAATTAAGCGTTACATATCTCTTTTTCTTGTTTGTTTTATTAAGTTACGGCAACGCAACACTTGGGCGATCTGCCTAGGGGAATGCCTTCCGGAAGATCTTTCTAAGGGTAACTCGCCTCTATTCAGGCGTTACAGACGTAGAGAAAACCTGGAAAATTCCACGTGACCAGTCCGTTCTGGCGAGGCGTGAACCCGCGACCGAACACCCAGTGTTTAGGGAACAGAACCGCTTGACCACTGGTGGGCCCGCTTCAACTTATAGCTGTTAAATTAATATTTAATTGAAGAATGAATATTTTGAGTTAAAAGCGTATCCTTTCAATATAATTTAACATTGAAAGATCAATTCAATTTAATATACCATTACATATACCTTTATAAGATATTATTTGATTCTTCGACAGAAAAACTTAGTCAATAATACTGTATAATAGAACAATTGGCGATAATTTTTTAAAACCAGCTTACACACAAGTTATCTTCAAATTTGGAAAATTTTATTTAATCCTCTACGAATCCTTTATGACAAGTTGATCTTCGTTAGATTGTACTTTTATTCTGTATAAACGTCACTGAAGACGATCGGCAAGTATATTTGTAAAGGATTAACGAGCAATTTTTTATTGTGACATCGTCACAATGCCGGGCTGCAATTTTTAATCGTATTTTTAAATTTATTTAATTTAAGATATATGCTCTCCACCTCAAATTAGTAGTGGCTTGCCCCTGTATATCATACTTTTCGTGCCGGTCATCTATCTAACACTTTTCAAGGGGAAATTTTTAAATTGAAATAACGTAACTTTAATTTTGGATAAGATGTTCTTATATAGTTAATCAGGGTCGCTTACCCCCAAGGTTTCCATATATGGTCTCCTCCTTCATTTATCTAACTCTGTTCTCGAGATAAAGGAAGGACAGACAGAAAACGAACAACAGTGCGAATTTATAGGTCTACAATTTTTTAAATTGTAGCCTAAATAAAATTTCCAATTTTTGACGGTTTAGTCGATGTTTTGAAACTTAACTTCAGTTCTTTTGCCCTATTAGTTTACCAAGGCATCAGCCATATTGTATAGTATTACATCATCCGCTGATATAAATGAAAAAGGAGTAGTTAACTGCTCAATTTGATATCGGCTATTGCTGTGCTATTTGAGTTTGTGTCGACAATTAACTTTACAGTAAACACAACCAGCGGAGCCCGTAGACTATGGAAAAGGGGGCAGAAACTATAAAAAGAACATCGTACTGTACATTACGCAAGAAGCTTCGAACTCTATTATTCAACGTCAGATCAGCGCTCTCACAAGGTGGTACCGGTTGCACTCTGGACTAACTTGGCCTCGAAAATAAGAAATGGGGTTTTGATCAACATTCGACGAAGTTGAATGAGTCAATGGACAATATCTTTCATTAGTTTCTTTTATATTTGCAGAATAGGCTAGAAGTCACGAATTTTCTATTGTTTGGGACTCCTTGGAATTAGAAAAAAAACCTGAGACGAAATGGGACATGTGCCACAAGTGCCCCAATATACGGATGTCTCAGTATTTGAATTTACGCTAGAAAGAAGAAATTCATTGACGTTTTACACAACGATGGTCTGAATATGACTGAGCTGTTCTCGTTCCACTGTTAATATAAAGGAATTCCTTCAGTGATGATTTTAAGTGAAATCAATAGCGTTGGAACGTTTTATTTCGTGGATGACACACTGAATGCAAATCAGTATGAAACTGTTGTTACACTTTATATCGTCACCATAGCCAGAGATACAATTGGATTGGAGCCATACATTTTCCAACAAGATTTTACATCCTGCCAGATATGTACACAGCGAATTGTACATTTCTGATTTTAATGATTTTTAATATCTTTAAAATATTAAACGATTATCGATATTTCGTTCTTCCAGATGCAAAAACAGTTTTCAGAACTGGGAATAAAAATGCTAAATTATGATGGGAATCTCAGCCCAACTAAAAACATTAGTATATACAATGTATTCATGAGAATTTTGTCTAATTTTTTTATTTACTGTTCTTCAGTATATCAAAACAAGTTTCGGAATTTTAAACATCGTATTATATATGTCTGTCATATAAAATACATTGCAGTTTTTATTTTTTTTCTAAATTTATCACTTCTTATCACTAATACATTATCCCCATCATAGGTTACACAGCATTATGCATTATTAACATTCTGCTGATTCATATAAACTCAGAAGGGGTGCAATACTTTAGAACACTAATGTATATTTTTACATAATAACCTAAGAGACTAATTTCCTACAGAAATTAGTCTCTTAGGTTATTATTTAGCTTATGGTTAGTTTATAGATTGTGAATTGTTTCCCTTTTACTGATTCTCTGCTTGAAAGTTGCTGTAGAAAACTAAGTAAACACGAAAATGGTGTTTACTAGTTTCTGTTTTGAATTGAACTTGTTTAATAAAATAGTAATGCTATTAAATATAAAGCTTGAACTCCGTTATAAAACTTGTTTAAAATTACCTAATTTTATGGTAATAAAATTAATTAAATGTTTGTTTAGCTCAGACGCCTCACTGGTTTTATGAGTGTTAATTTTTTTGTGTTTCAGTTCACTTCTATTGATGTTTGATGCTTTAGATAGTATTTAGAATTTAATTTTCTAATAACTTATAATCCTAGAAATTTGTAGCTTGGAAAATAATGTCATTTTTAATTTATTACAAAAAAAAATAGCGTTGCCCTTGGCCTCGTGGAAAAGTGTTGGGTGGTTCGAGTGTGCTTAATTATATGCTATACATTAGAGGGAATAGAAGAGACTACGATAATTGGGCTCAACAGGGTATTTATGGTTGGAGTTGGAAGGAAGTACTTCCATACTTTATACGATCCGAAGATAATCGCGATCCAGAAATTGCTTATAATGGTAAGGTGATATTGAAAATTTATGGAAGAAAATCTGAATGAATACTTTTAAAATATTCGAAGTAAACAGAAATACTTACTTTAGTTTATATATCATTAGGTTATCATGGACGAGATGGTCCACTTACAGTTTCTACTCCACCGTTCGTTACAGATTTAACTTTTGCATTTCTTGAAGCTGGAAATCGTTTTGGTTATCGTAATATAGATCTTAATGGTCCTATACAAACAGGTAATACTTTCAGGCTACTCAACTTTTTCATAATAATTAATTAATTTACTTTTGAGTATAATTATCTTAAAAATAATTTTATAGAGAAATTTTATGATTATATTTGCCATATTTTTAGGATAATTTATATTATTGCTATGTTTAGGTTTTGCCATTCCTCAAGGGACAATACGTAGAGGAGCGCGATGTAGCACTGCCAAAGCATTTCTCGAATTAACTAGAGGAAGAAATAATTTACATATTTTAATACATGCATACGTTACTAAAGTACGTTTTATTATAATGTTAAGCAGAATGAATTGTTTAGTGTTAACATTCGTGTTAATGTTACAGATAGGATTTCATAGAGGAAGAGCACACAGTGTACACTTTGATTGGAATCGTAAACATAACATAGTATATGCCAAAAAGGAGATAATTGTTTCAGCAGGTGCCGTTAATACTCCGCAATTGCTCATGCTATCTGGTATAGGGCCTAAAGACGAATTGGAAGCATTGAAAGTGAGTTTAAAAAAATCGTTTTAAATACAATTAAGTCATATAAGTTTTCTGTGTCTCTGTAATAATTTTAATTTATATAATGAACCTATTTCAGATTCCAGTAATAGCGAATTTACCAGTTGGCTATAATTTACAAGATCATGTCGGTGCTGCGGGTCTTCACTTTAAAATAAATGCACCAATTTCTCTTTTGGAACCACGACTTATGTCTATTAAAAATATTGTTAAATATTTTCTTTTTGGTTCTGGTAAGTTTGTATCATAGACCTATATTAATAATATATAGTAAGATTTATAGACTTAATATTATAGGACCGTTAACAAATTTGGGAGGAGTTGATGGTTTGGGATTTATCAATACACGTTATGGTAACGTTACTGACGATTGGCCTGATGTACAAGTCCTTTTTGTCTCTAGCAGTCCAGTTGCAGACGGAGGCGAAACAGTTCGGAAAATTATGGGGATAAGCAATAGAGTAACTCCATTTTAAATTAAAATAAATTTTTCATAACTTTTGTGTGAAATTTTTTAAAAAATGCAAATGTTTTCAGATGTGGTGGCAAGTTTATTACCCATATATTTATGACGATACGTTTACTCTATACCCTCTTTTACTGAGACCCAAGAGTAGAGGGAGAGTAAAATTAAAATCTTCAAATCCCTACGATCGTCCATTGATCGATCCAAGATATTTAACTGATATAGATGATGTTCATACTTTAGTAGAAGGTATAGAGTTAGTTATTTTGATATATATATTTTGTCATTAAAAAATATATATATATATAATTTTATTAATCCTTCTGCTTTAGCTATGAAGATATGTTTTTCATTAGCTATATCTGCTCCATTTAGAAAGTTTGGCGTTAAACCTTTTAAGACCATTTTTCCAGGATGTGAAAAATATGATCAGTGGACAGATAAATACTTCGAATGTGTAGCTAGAACTTTCACTATAACTATATATCATCCAGTTGGAACGTGCAAAATGGGTCCTTCTTGGGATACAAGTGCAGTAGTCGATCCAAAACTCAGGTGAGAATACTTAAATGTTTCGTTTATTCATTTTATTCAATTTAGCTAAAATATATAATTTTTAGGGTACGTCACGTTCGTAGTTTACGTGTTGTTGACGCTTCTGTTATGCCAACTATTGTTTCTGGAAACACCAATGCTCCTACCATTATGATTGCAGAAAAAGCTGCTGACTTGATCCGAAGAAGTATTACGTATCACTGATGCCAAAAATTTTGCTACGTGCCATAAAGAATTGTAAGAAACCTTAAAAATGTATTGATAGTTTAAATATTCAAATTATAATTCTGTCACGATATGTTTATGGTATTTCTTTTTGTAAGATAGTAACGGGTGTTCTCTTTAAATGGATATAGGTTAGAGCATTATGATTTATGCTTCATGAATAATTCTAACAAGAACGAATACAAAAATTAAAATGATAAAAGTAATGTTTTATGGAAAAATTTTTAGTATTAAACATTTTCTGTATCTGAATGAATTAGTATGTATTGTGATTGTTCCAGTTCAATATTTTTCAAATAATGTATTATTGAGTTATTCATTTAGCATTATATATTAATTAATAATCAAATATGAAATGAAACAAGAGAAGAGTTTGTAAACCATGTTTTTATTTCTAACCTAGACATATTTATGAGCATCTAAAACAACTACTGATAGAAAAAAGCTACTTTTAATGATCAAGGCTTGTAACTACAGCAATAATTTGTGAATATAATTATGAATATTCAGTTTTAAGTAAAATGCGAAGAATAATAATTCTAGTTTAAATAAAAATCAAATTTCCATACTGATGTATATTTATAAAAATCAATCATAACTCTTTTGTTGAAGACATCAACAATAAAATCATCACTAACGATCCGTCATTCTTTTTAGTTCCGCCATCTTCATGCTACGTACACACGAGTCTCATCAATCAGGTCAAAGGATCCATGTTTCGTTGCACCGCATTGATTACAATAGTTTTTGTAAGGGATTCCATTAGAGAATGAAACTGTACTCTTATTAATTTATTTTAAAAAATAAATTCAAGATATTTTATATGTTTACGACTTTACTTTTTTTTTAAATTTAAATATGAAAGAAAAACTAATCTCTAAAATATTATTGGCACAACAATTTATTTACAATAAGTTAAAACAATATCATAAGAATATGAAAAAATGACAAGTACATAAAACTGACTTATGTTGACCCGTATAAGTAAAGAAGTTTAACAGGAAGACATTATTTTTTCGACTTTCCTCTTGCTGCATGTTCACTAGAACAAGTCTCCGGATTCCAAACAAGGTTACTGTTTCACACAATTTTTTAAAACATCTTCCATTATTATTTCACTTTCCATACAGGGAATTCATACTCCGAATCATATCTGAAGCCTTCTCTGCTATCATGATGACAGGAGCGTTAGTATTTCCGGAAACGATTTCGGGCATTATAGACGCATCAATCACTCTTAGACCTTGCACACCTTTCACTCTGCAATCAGACGTTAAAGATCATTAAACTGTTAATGACCTCTTATGGGACAAAACAGAGGATATAACAAACAATGCCAAAGGTAAGACGGGTTAAGGTTTAAAATTAAGGTCAGACTGAATGATGAGCAATATTTGAAAGAACAAACAAAGTAAAACTTGAAATTTACGTAAGTAGGCCTGATGTTTAATATCATGCACAGAGGTATAGAGACCATTTAGACAAGGAATTTAAGCGAATTAAATAAAGTAGGATTTATAATAATTATTTTTAATCTAAAAATAAGAACATATGCTTAAATAATTTTATATAAAATTTATAATTTTTGAATGTCTTAAAGTAAAATTTTTAAACAGTAAAATAATTTATAACAACGATTAAAAAAAAAGCAGAAATTAATCAATAAATATTATAAGACGAAAGTAAAAGAGTAATAATGAAATTTAAAACAATGCATGACCTAATATTTACCTGAGAAAAGGGTCTACAACAGCTGTGGGATCATCGGGTGCTCCCATCTTACACGTTCCTACAGGATGATACAGTGTACACGTGAAGGAACGTGACACACATGCCAAATAGGGATCTGACCACATCTCATAATGTTCGCATCCTGGAAAAGGTACGGGAAATGGGCGTGCTCCGTATTTCTTGAAAGGAGGCGATAGAGAAAGGGCAATGCAAATTTTCAAAGCTATAAAAATGCTTTAATGAGGTCAATGCGAAACACGTAATAATTAAAAATTTATTTTTAGTTAGCTCTAATTTTTTTTATGGCAAAATGAAAGGCGTGAAAAGGATTCGTTCTTACCATCAACCATTGTTGCAATGTCGTAAGGATGAGTCAGATATCTCGGTTGTATAATGGGAGGGACGTAAGGACTCGCAGATCGAAGCTTAATGTATCCTCTACTTTTAGGGCGAAGCATTACAGGAAGTAAGGAGAATGAATCGCGATAGGAAAAAGGTTCATACATTTTTTTCCAGACCTGAAATACGATAAATAATTACTAAATATAATTAACGATTCGTAAAATTATAAAATACATACTTCATCTTTTAGTCCCAAAATATGGCGAAACGCTTGTCCCGCATCTGATGATGGGGAACCACTAGTGAAGTGTATCTCGAAATCAGGAGCGTCATTGCTTTGATTGACATACTTTGTTTTAATAAATCCCAGACCTTCTACTCCACCCAGTACGGCCCACGGACCTGAAACCATAACTTTTAAGTCATTGTTTTGCTTTGATAGATTTTTCTTTGATCGCAATTTTTTATTTTAATGTTAATGGTCAATACACTGTATAATATATATAATTAAATCTACGTAAATATAGAAAAAAAACATGAGAGAGAACATCATACAAACTTTTTAATTAAATTAAATGAATATAATTTAAAATAAAGTTAACCAAAGCTTCTCAATAGTTCATAATATTAATATTCATTTACTCTGAAAATAAGTACATTACGATTTACTATAAATCGTCCACATTGAGAGAATTAAATTGTTGGAACTCACACAAGTGCAGTTTATTAAAAATAACTCTTCATTACCTATGGGGGTGGTCACCTCTTGCTAATTATGGCAGTACCGTGTACCAAATAAAAAATAAATAAATAAAACAAGCGTTATAAAAATGCTTACCTAATCCAGCGATACTAAATTTCACAAAATTACGAAACGTCCTTAATCGATCACCAGTTAAAGTTATTGGCTTGTCAACTAGAAAATGTATTCCTTGTGGATAAATATGGTCCTGAAGGTTTAATCCTACAGGCAAGTCAGCTATGACTGGAATCTGTAAAAAAAAGTCACTTGAACAAATTTTTATTAAATATAAAAGTTCAGAAGGAATTTTCCTCCTGAGAAATCCTTTCACCTATTTTTAGAGATCACGTTTGATAATGACCTGGAAACCAAAGTTGAATTTAGGTTTTTATTATTATTATTATTGATTTAACTCTCTCGGGTCATTAGTAATTAAACTCACAATGTGTAATTCTTTAACTGTTGTCGTGAGTTTTTTGATACGGTCGAATAGAATCGTGTCAAGTATCTCTAATTACACTGATAAATTTTGTTTTAGGTCAGTACAAAGTTAGTAAAATTACTAATTGATAAAATATATATCTTACCCCGTGTTTGAGCAACTCTTCTTTAGGACCGATGCCTGATAACATTAACAATTGAGGAGAATTGACAGCCCCCGCTGATACTATAATTTCTTTTCTAGCTTTCACTGTATGGATATATCCCAATCTATCAAATTGTACAGCTCTAGCCCTCTTTGTATGATCAAACAATATCTATAAAAACATTAATATACATTTACATTAACAATACAAAATATCATAAATAAGTTAAATGTTTTTTTTATCTGCCAAACTTAAGCTTGATATAGCCTATATATAGTTTCAATTCCCTCTCAACTATCAATCATTATAAATCTCTGCTTATTCTTAAACTACATTGTACAGTACTTTAATAGTAAGGATTTCAGCATCATTTCTTTTATTATTATATTTTTAAAAACAAAAAGAATGCTTATGTAATAAAATTAAATAAAATTATACTTATGTTTTAAAATTCTCCTAACAAAAATTTTCTATTGAAGTATAAGTATAATATATCACTGGCTGAAATGTGAAGCGTATTTATCAATTTAAGCCATATTATTATATTACATCTGTTAAAATTTCGAACTTTTGAGAGTATGGACAACACTAGTTATGTCATTAAGAACAATTAAATTCATTAGAAAAAGTTGTATGAACTGTACGAAAAGTTTTTAATTTACAGTGAAAATAAACATTGTAAGCTTAATACAATAAAAAGTTATAGAAATTGATAAACAGTTTGATTTATGAGTAATTTAGCATTTTAAAATATTTATATTGATTTAAAATGTATCAATGTAAGATAATAATTAATCTGACAGCTAAACTGTTAAGCATCGATGGTATATTTTTAAAGTGGATTTTATAAAAAGCAGAATTCCATACTTTAATACATATTGGCTCATAAAAAATCGAAGAAATTTAAATATATATATATATATATTAAAAGTATAAACTTCAAAAAAAAGCTTACAATTAATATTAGTTTACATTCCTATACGTCAGAATTATGAGAAGCTCAACAATTTGTTGCAATAAATTGTCGCGTTAATAGACAGATAAAAAATTTGACTAGATGTAATGAAACTATTTTTCTAATTATAATATTATAGCTTCTTGTTTCTTAATTATCTCAATAACAATGCTACATTTTTCTGTCTTAATATAAAGTAACTTTATTTATTTATTGATTTATTGTACTTGCAACTAGTAACGTCCAACAGGACAAGTAAATATCCCTAAAACAAATCTAAAACAAAAAAAAAGGGAATAGAAATTACATAAACATATCCTGCACGAACAGGCAAAAAACAATAAAAAAAAACATAAAAGTATTCAAGTAGAATACATTAAAAATCATTCAATTAAAGTACGTTAAATAATGTTAACTTAAAAAACAATAAAACATTCGATTAGAGTACTTTAAAATTATAGAATCATTTCGACTTAAAAATTTGTGCGTGATTTTGTTTTATGCAAATTTCCATAACAGAAAGCATTATATAGTATTTTCTACTTCCTTTTTCTCTTCCTCTTACTACAATAGATTTCAATGTTCATTGTTCTATGTATGCAAAACTAGCTTTGTAATGTTAATGTTCTAATTCTGATAGTTTTCTTAAAATCCTTAAAAAAATCGAGCAACGAATACAATCACTTTATTTCTATTAACTTCCTCCCACCCTTTACAGATGGGAGGAAGAATTACTTGCCCTAGAATTTCAGTTTAGTTTTTGAATGTTATCATCACAACAATAGAATTTATTATTATTTCTGCGTGTATATTTTATTCTAAAAATAACAAATATTTGAATCTGGATCAGGATAATAGAAAAGTTAATTTTTAAATAGTAATCTAAAATAAATGAAGCTGAACGAATATTTTTTCATAAATGATGAAAATAGACTTCCAATAGACTTCTCTATCATCATAAAAAAACAGAATTTCAGGGAAATATTATTTATATGAGTAAATAAAGTCAAATTTATGCTTCATTAATTCATGCTTTGCACGACATTAAAATTTTATTACAAAAGAATAAAACTATAAACATTACAAAAACCTTAATTTTTACCTTCAAAACGTAAGCCAATATTACAATATGTAAATTTCTTCTATGTTTAGCAGGTTGAAGAAATGCTTTACTAGTGCTACATCTTGCTCCTCTACGTATTGTACCTTGAGGAATTGTAAACCCTAAAAAGAATTATTACTTTTTAATATCCTAATTTTATTATTTTGCGAATATAATAGGCACTTACCGGCTTGAATTGCTCCATTGATATCGACATTCGGATATCCCAAATATTTACCAGATGCTACAAAGGCGTGTGCTAAAGGTGTAGCGAAACTCGGAGAGGATACTGTCAGATATCCTCCAGTATTATGAAATCCTGATCGAACGAAATGAATTATTCATGAATTTATAAATTACAGAAGAAAATATTTAAATTATAGAATATAAAATTAAGTGTATTTAGTATTAATAAGTGAAGTGAACCGAATATACAAGTACTGTATATACATTCGAAGAAAACAATGGATTTTCTTTTAAAGCTGTTATCATCGAATAGAATATCATTTGAAATTTTTCAGGTCATAATAATATAGACGTGAGAATGTCTTAAATTTTATAAATTTAATAGTTTCAAGTTAATAGAAAAATTCAATTTGTTCCGAATAAAATTGATGCGCAGCAATTGACTGAGTGACACGATTGTTTAGTCAAGTATACCTACTTTGCATCATTCAGTAAATACTTAATGAACCTGAAAATAATGTGAAATGTCAGTATACGTTTATTTTTATCAAATTTAATCTAGTATACATATTAAAAATAATATAATATTGTGTCATAATTGAAATGGCAATGAACTATTTATCATATTATCAGTTTCTTTATCTCAAATACATAAATAAGGAACAAAAATAAATACAAAAACTATTAAAGAAAGTTATTCGCATTAACTTGATTACAATGTGGAAATATCTGGCATTGACATGTTATCACTAATTACTATTATAACAACAGATAAAACAATATCCTATGTAATTATTTTTCTTAATAATTAAGTTTATGTAGTTAAAAATATATATTATTAAACGGATAAAAGTATCAATTTAATTTTTAAATTATATTTTATAGTAGAATATACAGTAGTTATGTTATTCAAATTCCATTTAAATTGGATAACTGACACAGTTATCCAATTTAAATAGAATACATTATTAACTTACGAAAAATATATGATAATGTGTAAATGACATAGAATTTTTTAAATTAAGATTGCGACTGTTAGAAAATGTTAAAAACAGGAAATTATATAGTTTAATAGGATGATAGTAAGACATTGAATTTGCTCCTGTTTACAATATCATTTATTTTTTATTATCCGGATACTATAACTTATTATGATGATATCAAACTATTTTATTGTCCAAGGTGATTTAATGTTTCTTTCTTTACTTAATGATATGATATGCTATTGAAATATATTTGTCTATTCAAGCATAACACCCACCATTAAAAGCCAGGCTGGGATCACGATTATCTTCGGATTTCAAGAAATAAGGAAAGACTTCGTTCCAACTCCAACCGTAACACCCTTTTCTTGCCCAATTGTCGTAATCCCTCTTGTTCCCTCGGACATATAACATGTAATTCAATACGCTGGAACCACCTAAAATTTTTCCTCTCGGCCATTTTGAACGCTGATGAAATTTATCAAAAATTTTGTTAATTCAATTACCAAAAAAGTAAATTAATGAAATCTTAAATAGTTTTAATATTCTACAGAAGTGTTCTTATTATAATATTTCTTTTGTATGCGAACGTGAATAACTTATTGCATAATTAAGAATTGGGTATGTCAACTGTTGATTAAGAAATTGGTAGCACACGATATTAATTTATAATTATTTGTTTTGATTATATGTTTTAAAATAGATTTATTAAGAATTTCAAATTCACAGTTTAGATTCATTTATAGAAATATCATAAATGTATTTTGATAAACCTTATCATGATGTATTATACTGCTCCATGACGAAGACTATCCCCCAAAAATTGAAAATCTTGCTACCTAATTAGTACTATTAGTATGAAAAATGTTCTGTAATTAATTACAGAACATTTTTCATATTAATAAATTAATAATATAGGGCCTTTATGCTTGGGGTGGAAGCATAAAGGCTTTAACTCTATATATATTTTTGGAAATAGAGTCTTTTGTCTTGTGGTGGAAGCATTTATTCCTTCTGTTACGGACTATCTTTTAGAAAATCTCAAAATCATTGTTTTGATCGATGACAAATATCATAGATACTCGATAAAAATTGCTCTTGAATCTTTTGTTTAATAATCTTTAAACTTTTGCCAATAAATCTTAAAAACAATTGAATTAATAAGTGAATTGTTAGATCGATAAAATATTTTATACCCTTCCTTTCAGTCCAAAACACGAAGCTTCTTGAGGTTCAGTTTCGTAAGCCCAATCAATTGGGCTTAATTGTAACGTTGGTGCAGATAGAGGTACATCAGTAGCACTGTTTTCAAGACCACCCGCTTCTAAAAGTAAAACCGTTACTGACGGATCTTCTGATAACCTACTTGCCATAACAGCACCAGCTGATCCTCCTCCAACTACAAATTTAAAGAATTAATTAGAAAATTGTTTAATATTTATGTGAGAAAATTTCACAGTTTGTAAGGCGACACAGAAAATATCGTTTATATTGTTTTTATACTCTTAAATTTAACAAATTAACTCGATAAACTAATTAATTTTCGAAGAATTTGTAATAATTCTTACGTATTATGATTATAATATATGATATTCTAGACTACGTATAGTGTCTCATTGCCGCAAGAGTATTGCAAATCAGGTAAGGTCGGGGTTAAAAGGTTATCACGAAAACCGGATGACCTGCTCTCTGAGGAAAACAGCTGTAAGCCTTCATATTACATTCAGAATAAAGTTAGAAAAGATATGAAATGCTTTTTTCTCTAAAACAAATTAAATATTTCTTGTTAAACACTAAATTAATACGAAATTAATCATCATAAGTATTTAAAAAGGGATTAAAATTCGGTTTTCTAAATTGTTTAAATTACAAAAAATCTTTATTTATTACAACTGATGCTACTTACTACTATTACTATTACTTTAACCTGCTAATTACTTTAAAATTTTAGAAAATTATACGAAATTTTAAATTTAAATGTAAATATGCGTGATAAATGTTTAATAATACTTAAATTTTATACAGTTTATTACATTTTATTTTAAGTATACAAATATTTATATATACTTTCAATATATCTTTAAAATAAAATAAATAACTGTATTTAAAACTGCTTTTTTTTTCATTATATTTCATTATATATTTTGAACTTTGACACTTATATACATTATTGTACAGGATTAAAATAAAAGATAAGGAAAATAAATATGATAAAAAAAATCTAACTAATGTTATGTAATGTTAGTCACGTGTTTTGTTATCAGCTAAATTTAGCATATCCTCTTATATTTATTCTCTTATTTACTTTAACTATAGCCTAATTTATTTTCTTTAAATAAACAAACATTATTATTCAATACATAATATATATATTATATATAATTATAGAGATTTATATAAAATTTTAGTTCTCATCTTATTATTAACTGAGCATTATCCCTTTGTAGTATATTATCATCAATTTAACAATTATGTAAATAATTGATGATAATATCAAAATTAACATAATTTATTGACTTTTAATTGAATTTAATATATTTTTCTTCAATTTTTATAATTATTAATTGATGATAGTATATTATAAAATGATGTAATTCAATTAAGAGTCAATAAATTCGAAAAAAGAAGTGAAATTATGGAAAAAAAATTGTTAAAGTAAATAAATTTAAACTGTTTTGTGAATTTGTTCTGTATAAATAAGTAAATTTAAGTTTGTTTCTATACAAGTATAAACAGTTTTTATTAATCAATTTTAAATGTGCAATATCATTTAGTAAACTAAACTTCAATAAACAATGCTTCAAAATAAAATGTTTTACAGGGATTCCTTACAAAAAATCCTTTTAAAGGGTTTAAATAGATTTATACAATTGTAAATTCTATTGCAAAAGCTTTTTACAATAATTTATTTCAAACTTTTTTTAAATAAATTTTTAACTAAAAACTTCTTACAATTAAAAAAAATTAAAAATTAAAAATTCAATTAAAAACCAAATACAATTTACAAATTAAAAATTAATGAAATTTTAAGTACAATAACAGAGTTTTTTTAATCCTAAAAAAATATATATATATATATTTTCCTTTAAAATAGAATTTATCTTGAATTTTTCCGTTTTTTTATGTGTGTTATAATAATTTTATCAATTAAAACTTAAGTTTTTAGAATCTTTTATCTTAAAAGATGTATACATGTTTCATATAGGCCTATACACTTCATAATCTATTTTCTTATTCTCAAAATCAATATAATTCCTTTCGTACACATGTCTGTTTAAGAAAGTAATTACATTAATTTACCCATTTTATTCTATGAAATGTTACAGATCATTAAAGATAATTATTACTCATATTAAAACGCCTCTTTTTTAAAATTTTTAGCAATGAAAGTAATGTTTACTCACCGATGATGTAATCATATTCTTGACTAAAGCGATCGGTTGTGAGAGGAACTAAGAAATCCGTCAGTTTAAAGTATACGTAAACAGAAAAGGGCACAAGAGCCGGTAGAAGAGGAACTAAGTCAGTCATTTCTGTCTAGTTGTATTAACCTTTTAAAAGTCGCCACTTTTATGGGACGAGCGTCACGTGACACTCACACGTGAATACCTGCACTTCACCTAAATCTGACCAACCGTTCCTTTTGGACGGAATTTTCTTGATAACATCCCACAAACAGGGTTTACTTTTTACTATATTATTATTATGTAACCGAATTTAACTATTTAATTCGAACATATTGTAATTACGTTGAAAAATCCCAGTTTCAAACTTTTAAATATTTATTTCTAGCTGTTGTGTTTATATTTTATTCATAAACTAAAAGAAATTCAATATATTCAATTGACAATATTTTACTTTATTTACAAAATTCTAATACAAAAATAATGATGAACTTATTTAAAATGATCTCGTAAAGATTGTTTGATCAGATCAGAACCCTTTTCTCCAATCATGATAGACGGGGCATTTGTGTTTCCTGATATAATTGCAGGCATAATAGAAGCATCCACTACTCGAAGACCCTTCACATGCTTTACTCTGAGGAAAAAAAAAAAGAAAAAATGTTACGTCCGAATGGTAACATACATTTTACGTTTTTACTCTAGAAAAATAAACTATACATGCGATAGCTCTATTTAGATTGGAAGTAAATATATTATAGGTATATAAGGCGCTATTTTATTCATTGGAAGACAGCAAACTTGGCCAATTTCTCTATTAGAATTTAAAATATTTTCTTTATTCATTCCTTCTCTTTTATCTCGAAATATTTATTAATTAGTTTTTCTCAGCATATCCTATTTAGGCCACTCAACATCCACTTGAAATCACTATTACCACTTACAAAATTTCACGATTGACCTTTATTAAAATATGTCTACATTACGAATAGCCTGAATTATTCGCATTACTTATTTAGCTGTCAATCCATCAGCATTAAAATATTTAGTTCATATTTAATATCATTATTACAATTCTAAATTACGAATCTATTGTTAGAATATCAAAATCTTCCCAATTCATAATTTGTATAATATAAAGACACGCTTCACATTATTGTATATGTACTAAAATTGTAGATTACCTTAATTCTGGATCGACTACAGTAGTTGGATCCTTTATAGCACCCATTTTACACGTTCCCACAGGATGATAGATTGTGCTTGTTAACGTGCGAGCCAAACAAGCAAAATACTCGTCTCCCCATCTTTCGTAAGATTCGCATCCCGGCATTGCATTTGTTAATATCTCTCGTCCGTGTTTATCAAATGCTGGAGATGTTCCTATAGCAAATGCGATTTTCATACCTACAAACATAAAGAATTCTTGTGAAAATCGAAATAATTACTAATAGTAATGATAACATTATTCATAATATGAAAAAGTCGTGAAAGGTCAACAATTATGTTCTCGAGAAAGTAGAATATGGGGTTAAGAGCGAGATTTAATTAATAGAAGAGTTGAATCATCAAAATTATATCGAGCGCATCAATGAAGCTAAAATAAATTATACACGAACGTGAAATCTGTTAAGAAAAAAAATTGGATTTAAATTATTTAAATGCCATTGTTTAATGTGAGTAAAAATATACATTAAAATATTTATAAATGTTGATTAAGTCAGAATAGTATTTAAACAATACTATGCATTCTAAAAATAAATAAATGTAAGAATTTCTTTAAATCGTAATACATAACCTGTTAAGTAAAAATAATTATTAAATGGTTGGCATTATCTTAAAATAATTTGATAATAAAAGAAGTAATAAAATTTTTAAAAAATAGTTAAAGGAAAATCATAAATTATTTAATAGAAGGAACATAAAAAAACGCAAAAAAAACGGCTTGTGTGATGCCAAAAATACAACATTCTATATTTAACACGTCAAAATATTTTCTCAATTAATTATACATCTTGCAGTAGAATAGGATATAAAAGTATATCCTATAATTAAAAACGAAAACTATACCAAACAATAGTTTTTTTTAACTATGAAAAAAGAATACAAAGAGGATGGATTAAAGTAAATTGTATATATGATCGTTATCATCGTCAATATGAATATAAAATTAAATTAAATTAATTAAAAAATTAAATTTTAAAAGCAAAAGTGTTTTCATAAACATATAGAAATTTATACAAGAGTAAAAGTTTAAAACTTGTTTTAAAACACAAATAAACGTGCAAATCTGTAATTTTCTCAATCATTTTTCTTGATTTATATACAGAAATAATAATAATAATAATTGTTTTTCTTAAATAATATTTTAAATTAGACTTTTTTTTTTTCCTATTCAATCTATTAGATTTTATTCCTATTACATATATCATTACGGATATCATACGATCACTTGTCGATTTAATATAATCGAGATATACATTTGAAGCACAATTAACATTTTTCACTATAGAAATCGTGACCTGAATTCCAAGTTGAATTCAAAATCCATGATGTTCTACATTCTTAATAGTATACAAGAGGTAGATCAGTTGTAACTAACGAGAATCGAGCAGTTTGGAACCATCGCCACATTCAATGGTACTAAAGCTGGAAACGGAGCATGTAGAGTAAAGGTCATAAGCACGGCCGACAAACTATTTTAGACTCTTTCTATAAAACTCCTTGTAGCGATTTGGCCTCACCTGGAGAAATCTTTGAGCCATGTTTAATAGTCTTTAACGTACGAGGCTAGCTAGCTCTTTTAATTATATATTTTTTTGCTACTACGAAAGAATTCATAAAAGTTCAGCCAAGTGATAGTTGAATTTTTCATGTACTAAATCTGGTTCAGATAATTCTCATAAGACTGTGGCCCGTTGCGACCTTTCCAATGATGAAAATATACTTGAATGTAAGAGAAATTTGCATAATAACAAAACTGTAAAAATAGGAAAAATATTTATATTTATTTTTGCAATTTACACGTAAATTGTCTTAATTTCAGTTAAATATTTGCAATTAAATTCGAATTTATAGTAATCAATTTAATAATTGGACCTGTATGATCATTTACTTTTGGAATAAAATTACATTTAACGTAAATTATTAATTTCAATGAACGTATCGTATAATTGTCAAGGTCGTATGACAGTACGCATGAATGAAGGATCGTGTCACTCTTAAACTACATTTTAGATATTTTAATTATTGTATTTTTTAAATAAAAATAAGAAAATATAAACAATATCACATTGAAATTTAAAGTATATAAAGCGACGGGTTATCACAAGACACTCAAATAATTAAGTTGTAATATATAATTAATGGTTTCTCTTTGAAAATTACGAGTTTTCTACATTGAATCTACTCGCATAATTTAATAAAACATGATTTTCTATATTAAGAACATGATGAAATTAATAACATCTTATAACAATTTTCCTAAATTGCATCAAATAATTTATAAAACATCAAAAATCAACTTATTCATCAATCAATTTAGTCTTTTTAGTATAAAATTTAACTTGATATCTTGTTAAATTCAGTAATTTACTTCGCTATAAATTACCGTATGTAGTGCTAATTATATATATTTTCATGTTAAATATATGAAATGTTTGATTTCTTGTAGCGATTTCTTCCTATTAATATTCTGGACTACATCTCAACATGTCTATTGAGAATATAACAGTAATTTGGCTCCAGTTTTAAATAAAAGAATATCAGAAAAATTCAAGTATAATGTGAAAGGATTTATTTTTGTAATGAAAAAAAAATCTTTGAAATGTCTGTTTTGTTATTTAAAAAAGGTGTGTATTTATTACTTTTATTTATATATTTTTATCAATGATTTAAATTATTCTACATTAATTTATCTACCTTCAGTTAGAGTTAGCAAGTCTTCAGGATGAGTTAGATAATTCGGTTGGATTAAGGGATAATCATAGGGATTAGCAGAACGAAGTGTAACGTATCCTCTACTCTTCGGACGAAGGAGAACCGGTAAAATCCCAAAACTGTGACCGGTAGCATGGGGCTTGTATCTTACATCCCAAATCTGAAACGTGTTAAAAAAAAATATTAGATAATTGAAAGCGGAAGGACAACCAACGACACGTGAAGTATCATCAGTTGTCCTAACTCGCAATTATTCTAGCGTATCTTTATGAGAAAAACATTATATAAGGAAGTATCTCGGATTACAAGTTCACTTTTAAGAAGGAAATAAAAATATTAAATAGAATAAGTATATCTTCTCACCTCATTCCTCACACCTACAACGTGTCTTTGTACCGATCCAGCATCAGACATTATAGAACCACCGATAAAATGCAGCTCTATATCGGGATAATCGTTTATGTGTTTATTATATTTCGAGTTTACAAATCCGAAACCTTCCACTCCTCCCAGAGACGTCCATGGTCCTTAATTTTAAATTTTAAAATTAATTACAGCTGTTGCCATCTATCGGCTATAAATTATATTATTTTTTTAAATATATAAAAATTAATTTTACGTTATTAAATTAATTATTGATAGCATTGCGTTATTTTTATAAAAACCTTAAAATATAATTAGTGTAAAACGTATTGGTTTTAATTATATTATTAATTAATGTAGAACCAAAAATAGTTTGCAGCGCCATCTGTTAACACTTATGTGAAATATCTGTGTTATATATTTAAACAATTATAAAAGTTATGATATAATTTAGGAATTAAAACAATTAAATAATTTATATAAAATAATGAGCATTTTATTAATGCAAATTGTAATATTATGCAATATTAATGCAAATTAATGGACATTTTTGCCTATTAATCAGCATTAAGGTAATTTTTTACAATGTTTTAAATTAAAAAAATATATATTTTATTAGTTCCTTATAGGAAAGTAGGAAGATTATTTGGACAACAATATATTTAAAAAACTTTAAAACAAGTTACAAATTTGATTACAAGTTTAACGCATATAAATGAACTTATATATATAACGCTTATTTATTAAAAAAAATGAATGTTTAGTTTTTATTTTAAAATTTATGCATATAACTTGAGAAACTGCATTACTTTTGAACGTTATTCTGCTATCGAAACGTTTGTAAGAAGTATATTTATTAATAGTTCAATGATATTTAAAATACAGTATATAAAAATCAATTAGAAAAACAGTCGATATCGTGTTTTGTTACAATTAAATTAGAACATTCTTATATAAATGAACTTATATATATAACGCTTATTTATTAAAAAAAATGAATGTTTAGTTTTTATTTTAAAATTTATGCATATAACTTGAGAAACTGCATTACTTTTGAACGTTATTCTGCTATCGAAACGTTTGTAAGAAGTATATTTATTAATAGTTCAATGATATTTAAAATACAGTATATAAAAATCAATTAGAAAAACAGTCGATATCGTGTTTTGTTACAATTAAATTAGAACATTCTTATACCTGATACAGATTTTATAGATATTAAATATATTAGAATGGAGAAAGAATTAAAAAAATGCTGTTTTAATTATTTAAAAATATTTTATTAATTAAAATATGCTTGTCAACTTTAAACTGTTTCAATGATAAACGAAAGAACTGTTAAAGTAAGAGCAATATTTATTGTTAATAACAATTAATTACCACTTTAATAATTACAATTAACTTACGTAATAAATGTCTCCTAATTGCTTATAATTTCATGTATTAAAAGTAAATTTAACTTTAAAAACTATCACATAGCGTATTTTCAGCATGACTTGTAAATTAAATTAATCTATAAATATATCCTTTTTACCTATTTTTAAAAATAATGTTAAAATTGCATAAAAGAATTTTAATTATCGTTTCTTTACTCTAATTACTGTCTTAAAAAGAAATTTTTATAATGTAGCGAGCAATTATTAAAACAAAACTCTACTTTTTCTCATTCGTTTCTTCTCCGTTTACGTTATATTTTCTGGGTAAATATAGGTAAAGTACAAGAAGAGATTATAATCTTATAAATTAAATCTTTATATGTATACACTTGCATAGATTTAATAATTAATAGAATGTTTTTTCTTATAAAATTCTGTGATAAATATATACGACAATGGAGTAACATTATGAGAAAGAAGAGAAAAAACCAAATAAAATCTAGACTTTCACTCATGTTATTATAGTAACATCAACTGGCACCGATTGTTTTTTATTGCTACAGGCGATAGCAATCTTATCTTTCGAAGAATAATAATTATTTGATTACAATCGAAGGATATTTTCCCTGATTTTATTAGAATTATTTACTCTATGGGATAATTGTTGTTCCCATTTCTCTTAAAGACATTCCAAGGATTTTAACAATAGAGAATGTAAAGTAAATTCATCGAAGAATTAAAAATTTGATTGCATTTTTTAAAGAAATTTTAACTTTTGTTATAATTAATATTAATAAGTGCATAAGGAAAAGAAATATTTTATTTTTTATTGTTGTTTTTGTTAAGTGAAATGCCAGATAAATCTATTTTTACATCTGTCATTGCATTCACGCTATTTAGATTTCGACATAAAATTTTGAACCATTTTGTGAGAAAGTACTTGACGCTTGACTTATCAACTGTAAAATACAGGATACGTTCAGTTTGATTATTAATAATAATATTATCTACATGAGTAGAGTTAACATTAAAAGATGATATAACGACATTTTCCTTAAATAAAAATTATAAGATTAACTTACCATCGTGTTTCAACAGATATCTTTTGGCATTATCTACTGTAAAAGTTGATGCGAACGTTAGACTGACGTTATTTTTAATAGAAAATTCAATACCAAAAGCGAATATATGATCTTGCAGATTTCTACCAACTGGCAAATCAGCAATCACTGGAATCTAGAATTACATATAGAATTTAATTTTCTATAAATACTATTTACGAAAAATGCTTTGCATATAGATATTTATGATATATTTGAACATAATATAAATAGTATTTATCACACATAAGTAATATTTATATAATTAATATACAATGACTTACATGTATATATGACACAATGACCTAAACTCATATACTTTTGACTTAAAGAGTTATTTAAACAAGTAAATTCGTTTTACAACTCAATTTTATTTGTTATAATAATAGCCTTTTTATGTTATACAGCGTAATATAACTTTAACAGGATATTTTATGTCCTGTTAAAGTTCAATACCATTCTGGTAAGAGTGGTATATAAAACTGTACAATAAAAAATGTTTTTATTCAAGAGTGTTTTTTGTTGCTGTTTAAAGATGAATGCTTTATATATTTTATACTCTGTAAAACAGTATAAATATAATAAAAATATCTCAGGAACTTAAGTTGAATTGTATAAAACTTGCATCTTGTATTCCATTATCATCTTCTGATCGCCTTATCATCACTTTAATGTTATTATCACAGCAGGAATATAATTGTATTATAAAAATATCTGCCATCGCGTGTATACATTGCAAAGATAAAATCATTTATCAACTATGAAAGTTTGAAAGAAAAAAACTATAAAATGAAATTTTGATTAAAAAAGAATTGTTCGAAATTATAAAAGCGGTATAATGGTGTAATTTCAGATATTTAAGAAAGATAGGGTTGGATTTATGAATCAGGATAAGGAGTGCGATAACAATCGACATTTCGTAAGCAAAATAAAGTTGCATAAAGGCTACTTTGATTGTGATTAGCATTGCATTTTATCGCTCAAGTCTTTAGCAAGCAGGGAAATAACAATTAAAGAATTGTTTCAAAGATCTACGCCTCATTCGTTATCTTAAAAGTAAAGGCCAATAACTATCGGTTAAAAATCTTTCCTAGATCTAGAGTTATGATTTTCAAATTCGACCAATACTCTAATGTGTTTCACCTTAAAAGTTCTTTGACGTAATTTTTGACTTAACATTTTAATCTACATGTATAAAAACATTTTAAATTCCTCATAAAAAATTATCATTAACGTAATCTGTAAATCTAAACAACAGAATGAACTTGAAGAATGATCTAAAGGACATCAGCACAGGAAATTTGACCATTTACAATATCTTATCATTGAATGAATTATTTATTTTTTTCTTTTTTTTTGAGAGATGAAATAAAGATTTTCAATTGTGTATTTAAATAGTATCTTTGAATGCAATTCCATACAATCGAATAAAAAACAAACAATAGAATTGATAGAATTAGATATATAAAAAGTAGAGAAGGATAAAAATTGGGTTATATCAGTATCAAGCATCAATTTCTGAAGATTCGGTTCATATATTAATATAATAACACTATTAACATTGCAGTCGAAGGCAAAAACCATCATTTACAGTAATATATTTTTTTAAATTTTGATTCTATAATTAGTTTTCTACCAAAGGGTGAAAGGTTCTTTGTTATTATTGTCTAAAAAGTTTCTGGTATTTTGTAAATAAAACAAATTAAAATCACATTAAAAAACATAATAAAATTATCCGAATAAAAAAATGATGATGTAGAACAGTTTTTAATTTGTGTTAATGTCATTATTTTTGATTATTATTATTAATATTTAATCTATAGAAATAATTGTTTTTAATGAACTTATAAAGGTGCTTATAAAATTCCTTTCATAAAATATTTGATATAAGTAAATTATTATTATTATTTTTTTATTCAGAATCACGATCAGCACAACTACAACAAAGCAAATTAAAAGAAAATTTCTTTAAATACGATGACTTATTTTTTAGATGATTGAATGTAATAAATATTCATGAGAAAATTATTATCTTATATATATATTTTATACAATATCCAGTGATAGATGAGGGATACTCAAACATTTTTAGAGCAAAACAAAATGATAGCAGTTACCTGAATTCATTCGTAATTGTAAAATCTGAGACAAAGATCCAATCAGTAGTTGTGTCTCTATAAATCATATTTAATATAAAAAACCAGTAATGAACAGAAAAGGGAAAAGTTTCATCAATAATGAAAAATTATTTATGTGTTCAATTTTTATTATATCATTGTCTACGTTAGACTTAGTATATTAATAGGACTTATTATAGCCTACTGGTGTTGTTTTAGTTTTTGCAAATAACAACACCAGTATAATAAGTCCTATTGATATACTAAGTCTAACGTAGACAACGATATAATAAAAATTGAATAAAGTAAACTGATACTGTTTTTTCCTCTCTTTATTGCGTAAATTTCTCTAGAAGAATTGTATGAAAATTTATTTATTTATTGAAAATTTACTTTGAATTTCTCTATAGATGATATCAATAGAAGCAATTTGAAATTTATGATGGAGACAAAAATACTCGAAAATAGTCATAATGTATTTCACAATTTTTCATGAAAAATGTCAAAACAAAATATTCATTGGATGGCTGCACAATTAATATCTTATCATTCGGGTTTATGTAAGCGTATAGTTTCCTATGCTTTGTATAAAAATAACACACGATTTATGATATAACTAAAGAACCATTTTTAGTTTTCTACACACCTATAAAACAAAATTGAAAAAAAAGGATAATCTACATTTAACTTGAAGTGCCTAGATGATAAAAATGATTTAACTATTTTAAGTTTATTTTTAACATGGGATAGACTAGAATGTCTGTTTTTTAAGCCGATAATAATGATGATGATAAGTAATTTTTTCCTGAAAGGATGGGAATAACGATAAAATACATGGGAAAAAATGTTTACCTGGTAACGATAAGAATGTTTCCCAGTAATAAACGAATAAATCAGTATAAAATTAATTTATTTTAATTTTCGGATGAATGTAAAACCAGTTAATAAAATCAGTATCATACATGAACACCTGCAGGCATATCTTGAAGTACTGTTATTTTTAGTATCTTGTTCTTAGATATTATTATTCCACTAGCAGTATTTCAAGTAGGACTTCAACACTAGGTCAATCACTCATAATTTACAAAAATACTTTAAAGTTATACATACATGCGGTTTTTTTTTAAATTTTAAAATCTCAAGTAAATACTCTAATCACGACAATGTTCTACTGCACGATTAATAATCATTCAACCTAATTTGTTGTGGTTTCATAGTAAAGACCTTCAGTACGTCGACCTCGATTACTTTTTCAACTTTCTAATAAACAAGAATTAAATTTGTCTATAAGAAGTAAATATTTTTTAATAAGTGTAAATCTTCCTTAACTTATAATTTACTTATAAATTAAAAAGAACAACTTCAGATAAAGATATAATTAAACTACTTTTATAAATATACTTCAACTTTCTTTAAATATTCATATTGATTTTCAACGTATGATATAGGTCATATAACAGTGTTTTTTATTGTTTTCGTTATTCAAACAGAATTATTAAAAAATTTTGTTAACCTTAAAATGGTATGTTTTATACAATATAATATTAGAGTAGCTATTTAGGTGAATTTACAAGGGATTACCCTTGGGAATTCCTAATTATGAAATAAAGATTATTTCAAGGATTCAAACGGAAATAGGACGTTTTGTAAGAGCACAGAAATACTTTTAACAATTGTAAAATGCTATGTATAATACTAATTTGAGTTAGTATCATTTAATTTTTGATGAAAAATTTCAATCGATTTATAATGTGTTATTATATAATATTATATATATAGAATGAAAAATTATAATGTTTTCTCACTTACGTTATGTTTCTCTAAATGCATTTTTGGTCCAATACCCGACAACATCAGCAACTGAGGAGTATTAATAGATCCAGCTGATAAAATGATTTCTTTTCTTGCACGTACAAGAGTGGTAAGTCCGCCTTTATCAACAAGAACACCTCTTGCTGTTTTCGTCTCATCGAAAAGAACCTAAAATTTACATGTCTTTATATTAAAAACGTCTTAACAATATACGTGTTTAATGTAAATGAATCAAAGATTAAGTTATTAATTATATTAATTAATAATAAATTTCTCTTTTTTTACTTTTACCAACCTTAGTGACAAAAGCATTAACGACAATATCAAGATTATGTCTATCTTTTATTGGGTCTAAAAATGCAGATTTCGTGCTCCATCTTCGACCTTTATATGTAGTACCTTGAGCAGGCGTAAACCCTAAATTTAAAATAAATAGTAACGACAATATAGATATTATATATTAATCCATTAATTGTTATAACAGTTAAAATTATTCATCGCCTTTAATAACGATATCGAATATATTTTATATTACTTTTAATATTTTATAATATTTGTTAGCTGAAAGTGATATTATTTATCAGAAATATATACAGATTGGTCCGTTTATAATGTCTTTTACAAGACAAATATCTCATAAAATATGGACATAATTAAATAATTGATCAGAATAAAAGTTATGTATTTTCCAGGGACTTTTTCAGTTTTGTTTACGAGATGTAAATGGACCACCCTGTTATTAGGATAAATTTGAGAAAAGTCTGTTACCAGTTTGTGTTGGTCCATTAGCATCTTGAATGATAGGATAACCCAAGTATTTTCCAGCTTCTAGAAATGATTGCAAAAGAGGAGTTGAATAGGTTGTAGATACTGCCTGATAGCCACCAATATTGTGATAACCTTGAATAAAAAGACAAAATAATAATAAAAATTAAATTTTAAATTATAGAAATAGACCATATAGTTGGCGAATTTAAAAACAAAATGTTAACATTAACATTGTTAATATTAAACAATATAGAATGAAATAAATGTTAACATTAAAAATATAAGCAGTAAATTATTATAACTATTTTGTAGTATAGTAAAAGAAAACATTAAATTTAAAATAATTCAGGAAATTTTACTTAAGTATTCTTAAAACAGTTTATATATAGGCCTAATAAAGCGTTTTAAAGCAAATTTTCGCAATTATTTTATAAACTTTTAATGTTTTAAAATTATAAAAGTCGAATTTACCATTGTAAGCATAATTTGGATCCGTTTGATGTTCCGACTTAATAAAATACGGATATACATCGCTCCAACTCCAACCATATGCTCCATCAGCAGCCCATTTATCATAATCTTTAGGATTACCTCTTACGTAGAGCATAAAATTAAGTACGCTAGAACCTCCTAAAACTTTCCCACGAGGCCAACGACAACTCTGTTGAATTCACAAAATAAAAACGATATAAATAGAGTTTATCATGATTATTAAATTCAACAATTTTCAGCAAATATTAGCTATAAAATTTTATATAATAGTCTTTCCCAGAATTAGAACGAAGCCAATGTTTATTAGTCTACGTACACAAAGAATAACGGTTCTGTGTTCATAACAAAATTGAACATATATTAGAAAATTACAAAATATGTTTATATATTTTAAATTTCTAAAATTTTGCAAGGAATTTGAGATTAAAAAAAGACAGAAAACGTCACACGACGTCACACAAGAATTTTCTTTGCTTATCTAATGTATACACTTATAAAATCCAATACAAATGCTCCATTCTTATTGTGAGGAATGCTATATTGTTATGAATATAGTAATATTTTCCTTGTTTACGATAATCTTTAAAAAACATTAATCACTTTCAGTCTATATTAATAACATATTATTTATTTTTTTAATTTTCTAAATATAAACAACTAATATTATTCTATTTTAAGATAATTTAATGAAAAGAGATTTAATGTGTATAATCCTGGTAATTTGTAATTTAGGTTGATGAGTTCTTAACTACTACTATAAATAATTGTATTATAAACTAGCTCGTATGGGAAACAATTCTTCGTAAGTTTGAAAATGTTTATTTGTAAGAAACTTTCCTGCTTAGTAAATTGAATTATATCAAATCTTTTTCTATATATATTTTATTTTTCCCTTTAAAATAGTTTTTAGTATCATTAAATTTGTTTTTAGATACTTCAAGCATTTTAGTATTTTTTAGGAAAATTTTTCTATATTTCCAAATATAGAAAAATTCTTCCTTTAATGTTCTTGATCATTAGAATTGTTTATAATATAATTCGCGTTCAAATGTAGTCATTAAAATTATTATTTAAAAAAAATAAAATTAAATAAATATATATTTGATTTATTTGTTTCACCCCTTTTAAAATATTGAAACAATTCTTAATTTTTTAAGATTCAAAATAAAAAGAATCCTTTTGTTTCTTCAAACCTACTTTAATTATTTTTAAATTCTAAAAGTCATTATATGTGAACCATATTTACTATAAAATTCCCGAATTGTTTAGGGAAATTCTACATTAAAAGTTTTAAAGGTAGTAAATGAATAAAAAGTATCATTAACAGAATAGTGTGTCACGTCTTTTAGTGTATATATATATTTTTTTTTTAATAATTGACTATGATTAATATTCTCTGTACTGAACTAATTAATATCATTAAGCTTATTATTTATGACGTCAACAAGTTTAATTATATATAATAATGATGTATATTTTAAAAGCTTAAAATTCTATCATCTTCGTTTCTCCCGTCGGCAAAATTTTTAAAGATATGACCCATTTCTTAGAACCCTATGGCAAAATATAAGATGATAAAAGTTAATACCCCTCTACTAACATAATTTTCATAATTCCGATTTAAATCTAGAGGAAAAATTGTAATTTCGAGGAAGATGTTCTACTTCTGATTTCCTANTGTAATCAAATTGACTGTTCAAAATAATCAACTCATAAAAGTCCATATAAAGAACTAATAGAAAAAGTAATATTTAGAATCATACATATCAATTTAATACCACTTTTTGAGCTGATTACTACTTAATCTTATTACTTACGTAGATAAAATAAATATTAGAAATTAGTAAATAATTTAAATAAATGATAATTATCTAAAAATTCTTTTTAAATTAAACCTAACTATATCTAATCCTCTGATTCTTTCTATATAAAAGCCTTAATCTGTAATATTTCATGATTTGTCACATAGAACAAATTAGTTTTATATGATAAGCCTTAAAAAATCCGGTTATTACTATTGACGTAAATGCTTGCATTATTAATATTCAAGTTCGTTTTTTTTTAATTTTCTTTTGATAAAAATACCTCTTATCATTGACTATAGACAATACTAACCGGTATATCTATCAGTTATTAAATTTATTTTAAGTTTTCATAGCATAGTTGATAAGATTTCACGATCAAAGCAAACTACACAATTTTTTAAAATAATACAGACATTTTCACTAAAGTTTTTAGTGGAAATTTCTGTTAACATTTTGGCTGTGTTGTACTTAAATAATTATATAGATTAAAAGCCATAACTAAAACATTCAGTAATTGGTTTATTTTTTTACACTTACTTGTTTTAATCCGTTCTCCTCTTTCTACTTACATCTTGCTACATCCAGCAAGAAAATGTTTTATCTAAAGCATCAGAGTAATTAAATATTTAAAGCATAGCAAAACGTTAATAGACAAAACGTTTTACGTGAGAAATTCTGTCTAGTTTAAAAATAGTAATTTTTATCGTAAAATCTTGTTAACCATGCAATGAAAACTTAAAATAAATTCTAATAAATAAAATAAACGATTGGTAGATATACAGGTTAGTATTGCCTACTACTATAAAGAATATTTTTATTAAAAAAAATTATAAGAGAGAACGTGAATATTAGGAATGAAAAAATTGCACTAATGTTAAACCGGATATTCTTAGGACATATCACATAAAATTAATTCATTGTTAATGATAAATCATAAGATATTATAATTCAGCATTCGATGAGTCGAGCTAAAAGATTTTATAAATGTAAGAGACGTTATAAGCAGTTTTATAAATTAGGTAGAAAGAATCTGAGATTTAGGTCTAATTAGGTATAATTTTAAAATGATTTTTAAATATTTATCATTTATTTGAATTGTTTTAATATTTATTTTATCATTTTATGATCTTATCAAAATAGTTATATATGAAAAATATAAATAAAAACTTTATAAAATATTAGGAGTAACAAGAACAAACGAAAACTAATCTTTCTACTTTATAAAATCTATTATATGCTAATTAAAAAAAATATTCTAGGCTGGAATGCAGCATAAACGGTGCAAGAAAGTTAAACTATTTGTATTGCATAAACGAAGGCCTAATTATCTATTATTACTTTTGTAATTTATATTTCTATTTAAAAACCCTTCTTACTGTTTTATAAATTAATTAAGGAATTCTAAATATTAATTTTAAAAATGAAAAAAAAATTTGATAATATATTTTATTTCAATTTACATAGCCTAACGCTAATTTTAGAGAGAAAGTTTTATATTTAATTATTAAATTTCTAGGTTAAAATATTACATTAATATAATTCAATATTGAAATGAGGTTAATATGCAAAAAAAGAAAAAAGAAAGGAAGAAAAAAAAGCAGAAACTCTGGCTCTTTTTTTTACATCCGCAAATTTTTACTACTTACAAATGAAACAGATTCTTGAAAATCTGTTGTAGAAAAAAACCTTCAAGCTATTGTGATGTAATAGTTTGCAAGTTCTCATATAGAATTCTTGAAAAGTTTTAAACAATTATGAAATGGTAAAAGTATTTTTATCTCACGAAAATTGATGATGCGGAAATAGCATCTTTATGAAAAATATTCATTGAAAATACCGTTAATCGATTCTACAGTCAAAATTAAGGAATAAATGGAAAATTCACAGTAGAATTTAAAATATCAAATAATAAATTAATTTATAATACATATTAAAAATTTACTTACCTATAATATAATCATATTCGTCTTGAAAATATGGTTTAGAAATTTTAGGTTTAGGCGGTGTTATTCTTTGCAGTACTAATGCGGCTGCAGTAAGAATGGGTATTAGAGTCATAAAATCCGTCATATCGAAATGAAAGTTATCAGTTTATGAGCTTTCTTTGCTTCAGTTAGTAGACACGCGGCTTTTTTCCACGCCCCGCAAGTCACATGACCTACTTTACCAAAAACTTTTCCTATAAAGAAGGAAATTAAGATCGTCTCATATTCTGCTCATATGTTCAACTAAAAGAATTTTATATTACTATTATAACTCTCATAAAAGTCCATATAAAGAACTAATAGAAAAAGTAATATTTAGAATCATACATATCAATTTAATACCACTTTTTGAGCTGATTACTACTTAATCTTATTACTTACGTAGATAAAATAAATATTAGAAATTAGTAAATAATTTAAATAAATGATAATTATCTAAAAATTCTTTTTAAATTAAACCTAACTATATCTAATCCTCTGATTCTTTCTATATAAAAGCCTTAATCTGTAATATTTCATGATTTGTCACATAGAACAAATTAGTTTTATATGATAAGCCTTAAAAAATCCGGTTATTACTATTGACGTAAATGCTTGCATTATTAATATTCAAGTTCGTTTTTTTTTAATTTTCTTTTGATAAAAATACCTCTTATCANTAATTGTTATAACAGTTAAAATTATTCATCGCCTTTAATAACGATATCGAATATATTTTATATTACTTTTAATATTTTATAATATTTGTTAGCTGAAAGTGATATTATTTATCAGAAATATATACAGATTGGTCCGTTTATAATGTCTTTTACAAGACAAATATCTCATAAAATATGGACATAATTAAATAATTGATCAGAATAAAAGTTATGTATTTTCCAGGGACTTTTTCAGTTTTGTTTACGAGATGTAAATGGACCACCCTGTTATTAGGATAAATTTGAGAAAAGTCTGTTACCAGTTTGTGTTGGTCCATTAGCATCTTGAATGATAGGATAACCCAAGTATTTTCCAGCTTCTAGAAATGATTGCAAAAGAGGAGTTGAATAGGTTGTAGATACTGCCTGATAGCCACCAATATTGTGATAACCTTGAATAAAAAGACAAAATAATAATAAAAATTAAATTTTAAATTATAGAAATAGACCATATAGTTGGCGAATTTAAAAACAAAATGTTAACATTAACATTGTTAATATTAAACAATATAGAATGAAATAAATGTTAACATTAAAAATATAAGCAGTAAATTATTATAACTATTTTGTAGTATAGTAAAAGAAAACATTAAATTTAAAATAATTCAGGAAATTTTACTTAAGTATTCTTAAAACAGTTTATATATAGGCCTAATAAAGCGTTTTAAAGCAAATTTTCGCAATTATTTTATAAACTTTTAATGTTTTAAAATTATAAAAGTCGAATTTACCATTGTAAGCATAATTTGGATCCGTTTGATGTTCCGACTTAATAAAATACGGATATACATCGCTCCAACTCCAACCATATGCTCCATCAGCAGCCCATTTATCATAATCTTTAGGATTACCTCTTACGTAGAGCATAAAATTAAGTACGCTAGAACCTCCTAAAACTTTCCCACGAGGCCAACGACAACTCTGTTGAATTCACAAAATAAAAACGATATAAATATAGTTTATCATGATTATTAAATTCAACAATTTTCAGTAAATATTAGCTATAAAATTTTATATAATAGTCTTTCCCAGAATTAGAACGAAGCCAATGTTTATTAGTCTACGTACACAAAGAATAACGGTTCTGTGTTCATAACAAAATTGAACATATATTAGAAAATTACAAAATATGTTTACATATTTTAAATTTCTAAAATTTTGCAAGGAATTTAAGATTAAAAAAAGACAGAAAACGTCACACGACGTCACACAAGAATTTTCTTTGCTTATCTAATGTATACACTTATAAAATCCAATACAAATGCTCCATTCTTATTGTGAGGAATGCTATATTGTTATGAATATAGTAATATTTTCCTTGTTTACGATAATCTTTAAAAAACATTAATCACTTTCAGTCTATATTAATAACATATTATTTATTTTTTTAATTTTCTTTTGATAAAAATACCTCTTATCATTGACTATAGACAATACTAACCGGTATATCTATCAGTTATTAAATTTATTTTAAGTTTTCATAGCATAGTTGATAAGATTTCACGATCAAAGCAAACTACACAATTTTTTAAAATAATACAGACATTTTCACTAAAGTTTTTAGTGGAAATTTCTGTTAACATTTTGGCTGTGTTGTACTTAAATAATTATATAGATTAAAAGCCATAACTAAAACATTCAGTAATTGGTTTATTTTTTTACACTTACTTGTTTTAATCCGTTCTCCTCTTTCTACTTACATCTTGCTACATCCAGCAAGAAAATGTTTTATCTAAAGCATCAGAGTAATTAAATATTTAAAGCATAGCAAAACGTTAATAGACAAAACGTTTTACGTGAGAAATTCTGTCTAGTTTAAAAATAGTAATTTTTATCGTAAAATCTTGTTAACCATGCAATGAAAACTTAAAATAAATTCTAATAAATAAAATAAACGATTGGTAGATATACAGGTTAGTATTGCCTACTACTATAAAGAATATTTTTATTAAAAAAAATTATAAGAGAGAACGTGAATATTAGGAATGAAAAAATTGCACTAATGTTAAACCGGATATTCTTAGGACATATCACATAAAATTAATTCATTGTTAATGATAAATCATAAGATATTATAATTCAGCATTCGATGAGTCGAGCTAAAAGATTTTATAAATGTAAGAGACGTTATAAGCAGTTTTATAAATTAGGTAGAAAGAATCTGAGATTTAGGTCTAATTAGGTATAATTTTAAAATGATTTTTAAATATTTATCATTTATTTGAATTGTTTTAATATTTATTTTATCATTTTATGATCTTATCAAAATAGTTATATATGAAAAATATAAATAAAAACTTTATAAAATATTAGGAGTAACAAGAACAAACGAAAACTAATCTTTCTACTTTATAAAATCTATTATATGCTAATTAAAAAAAATATTCTAGGCTGGAATGCAGCATAAACGGTGCAAGAAAGTTAAACTATTTGTATTGCATAAACGAAGGCCTAATTATCTATTATTACTTTTGTAATTTATATTTCTATTTAAAAACCCTTCTTACTGTTTTATAAATTAATTAAGGAATTCTAAATATTAATTTTAAAAATGAAAAAAAAATTTGATAATATATTTTATTTCAATTTACATAGCCTAACGCTAATTTTAGAGAGAAAGTTTTATATTTAATTATTAAATTTCTAGGTTAAAATATTACATTAATATAATTCAATATTGAAATGAGGTTAATATGCAAAAAAAGAAAAAAGAAAGGAAGAAAAAAAAGCAGAAACTCTGGCTCTTTTTTTTACATCCGCAAATTTTTACTACTTACAAATGAAACAGATTCTTGAAAATCTGTTGTAGAAAAAAACCTTCAAGCTATTGTGATGTAATAGTTTGCAAGTTCTCATATAGAATTCTTGAAAAGTTTTAAACAATTATGAAATGGTAAAAGTATTTTTATCTCACGAAAATTGATGATGCGGAAATAGCATCTTTATGAAAAATATTCATTGAAAATACCGTTAATCGATTCTACAGTCAAAATTAAGGAATAAATGGAAAATTCACAGTAGAATTTAAAATATCAAATAGTAAATTAATTTATAATACATATTAAAAATTTACTTACCTATAATATAATCATATTCGTCTTGAAAATATGGTTTAGAAATTTTAGGTTTAGGCGGTGTTATTCTTTGCAGTACTAATGCGGCTGCAGTAAGAATGGGTATTAGAGTCATAAAATCCGTCATATCGAAATGAAAGTTATCAGTTTATGAGCTTTCTTTGCTTCAGTTAGTAGACACGCGGCTTTTTTCCACGCCCCGCAAGTCACATGACCTACTTTACCAAAAACTTTTCCTATAAAGAAGGAAATTAAGATCGTCTCATATTCTGCTCATATGTTCAACTAAAAGAATTTTATATTACTATTATAACTAGTATATATATATATATATATATAATTAATAGTTTTACTTAGTAAGATGTAAACACAGTTATTATA